TCTCAGGACGGATCTGGCTGATCTACAATACACCGTAAATGAACTCGATATGCATGAAGCTTTGTTATCTAGTTTGCCGACAACGACTCAATTCAACCAACTGCGACAAACAGTATGGTTTGCGGGTGATGCGGCGATCTATACACCAGAGAAAATTCGAGAGCTGATTCGAACAGCTGCTGCTCTGCAAGAAGAGGCCAAGAGCGGATTTGGCATTGGCGCTCTCAAGAGAACAAGGAGCAGGGACGTGGAAAATCAGCGTGAACATAAGAAAGGCGTTCATGGTGGTAATAGCAAAGGGTTTAACGCTATTAACAGAGCGAAAGGTCTGGATAGAGCGAAGGACAAATAGAAGAAGTGCTACACGTGCAGCAGTTACGAGCATTTGAATAGAGATTGCACTCATCGTGCAAAATATGACGATGCATCGACACCAGCCAGAGATAAAGGCGGCGATCGTGATGAAGGTAAACGCAACATGAAGACAAACTTCACGCGACGTGACGTGCTTGGTATCTTTGGTGAGGATCAAGACGTACGAACCAGTGAAATAAGGCATGTGGACGATGTCGAATGCATTGTTAGAACACAGAAAGAGACCAATTCCGTCGAGATGCAGGAGTAGTGCATCGACGCTGCATCAAACACTCATGTGGTCGGTGACAAACGATACTATATTCGATATAGGGAGCTTTCGATCGACGAAGCGATTGTGCGTGGCGTTGTACCAAGCTTCCAGGAACAACCAGTTGGTGTTGGAACGATCGTTCTTAAGACAGTTGTCGAAGGAAAGACAGTCCATACTGTGATCGACGACGTGCTCTTCGTTCCTGGTGCGATCAACCCGCTTTTTTCGATGGGACGTGCACTCGGTAATGGATTCAAATTCGAGTGAGAATCGAACACGCGCCGACGTACTATGATAGAGAGCAACGAAGCAGTGGCACAAGCAGACAAGAAAGGAGCAGTTTGGGCGTTCGAAGGGAAAATCGCATCTAGAGACAAGGTTGGCAAAAGTGTAGAGACGCGCGTGACACACTTTACAGCTCAAGATGGTGTCGCTGATCTGCAGTTGTGGCATAAGCGCTTGGGTCATGTGTGCTTACAGTACATCAAGCTGATGGTGGATAGGAAGCTTGTCGATGGTATGATGCTCTCAGGAAGAGATGTAAATGACTCTGAGACATGTCACTTGGCAAAGCAAGTACGAAAGTCATTCAGGAAGTCTCTGGACCGCAAAATTGTCATGCCAAATCAGTTTGTTTATGCAGATTTGCTAATGCCGGGCATCTCTTGCGGCACAAGAGTTGGGGCAATTTTGGTCATCATGGATGCATTCAGCAAGTTTGTGACGACCTAAATGCTGCGCACGAAAGCAGCAAGTGCAGTGGCCGCTGCTATGAAGCAGTACTTTGCTTGGGCTGAACGACAAGCTCGTCGTCATACAAGCGAAAACATCGGCGATACAAGGGCTGCATATCTGGTACGACAACTACTTACGGACAAAGGTGGTGAGTTCGCGAGTCCCGAGTTCAAGCAATGGTTAAATATGCGAGGCATCGAACATGTACAAGTTAGACCAGCCAGTTCGCAGCAGAACCCATGCGAACGGGTTCACAGGACAGTAATGGAGATGACGCGAACGATGTTACAACACTCGGGCATGTCTCAAATATTTTGGACGGATGCGGTCTAATACGCTGTCTATATTAAGAACCGCATATTTTCTCGTGGATGCACAAGCACGCCGTACGAAACAATGTTTGGAATGCGACCAGACATCCGTCATCTTCGAACTTTTGTCTCGCTGGCGTATGCGCACGTCAAAGCTAACGCACGTCGTCACAAGCTACACCGTAACGCAAAGATCGGGTATGTTTTGGGTTACGCAGAAGATATAGTGGGTTGCAAACTTTACTTTCCGGATGAACGCACGCGGAAATACGTGGCTGACATTCGGGTGAACGAGAACGTTCTCTACCGTGACCGACATACCAAGGCATATGGGGCAATCGACACCGTGGATTTTTGCGATGTACCCATCGACGAGGGCGACAGCGGTGTCGATGCAGACGAAGACGTGACCAATATGTGCTACGACGTATGTGACAGCGATGACGTACGTGATGTAACCGTCGACGAGGGCGACAGCGGTGTTGATAAAAACGAAGACGTGACCAGTATGTTCAACGGCGTAAGTGACAGCGATGTTGTACGTGACAGAGATTCTGCGTCAGGTGTTTGTAAATTTGTCGGTAGATGTCAACTAGGCACAATAGGCCCAGAATCAGCAGCGACATCAGACATGAGTCATGTCAGTGAGAGAGTCGAAGAGAGTCATCAAGATTCGAGTGAAGGTGAATGTGCGCGCATTGGATCGATTGATGGAGAACAAAGATCAATAGACTTAGACGAACATACGGGAGATAATGATATGACGACCACTTGCAGCGCGGCAATACTCGCAGATCTAGTTGCGGCAGGAAAGCGCAAGCGTACACAGCTGTCAGCGACAGGCAGTAACACGGGAATCGTGGAAGTCAAGAAGCGACGTGAGGGTTTGCGGTAGACGAGTCAGCGTCGATTGCTATCGCGATTTAATGACTTCATTGTCCAATCAACAATATGTGCATCTGGTGACGGGGAGAGATCTATACACAAAAACGAAGTCAAGATCCCAAGGACCCATGCGGAAGCAATGAATACTGAGTACGCAAGCAAGTGGCGGGACGCAGAATTACTGGAGCTCGAGGCACTATATGATAAAGGAGTTCTCGAAGAAATTGACGCATATGACGTTCCACCGTCTACCAACATGTTGACTACGACGTGGGTCTATGCGGTGAAGACCAACGAGCAAGGAGGAGTGATTCGATTATAAGCTCGACTCGTTGCGCGCGGTGACAGGCAACGCGCAGGTGTTGATTTTGTCGACACGTTTGCACCGGTCGATCGCATGGCGTCGTTTCGCTTGTTTGTCGCATTGATGTCGAAGTTAAATCTGGAAATGTACAGTTGTGACGTAAACACAGCCTATCTCAATGCGGACTTACAAATTCCACAGTACGTAAATCGAATTCAAGGTCACGTGAATGATAGCAGCAAAGCGTATATAGTGAGTAAAGCGCTATATGGATTGCGTCAAGCTGGACGAGCGTGGAACACGATATTAGATCACTTTCTAAAGGCACAAGATTTTGAACATGGACAAACAGAGCCGTGCTTATACGTACGTTGGCAAAATGGAGAAGTCTGTCTAACACTGGTATACGTCGACGATGTACTCACAGCAACAAAATCAGTAGAGCAGAAGGATGATCTGTTCGAGTTGCTAAATAAGTAGTATGACATTAAAGATCACGGGCGAGCAACACAGTATCTTGGTGTCGAGATTGATCGCAGTGACTCCAGCTACTGCTTGCAACAGACTCAGTATACACGTGAAATTGCTCGAGCGGTTTGGATTCACAATAGCTCGCAAAATCGGCAACCCAGTGGAATGCACCACGCGACTTGTGCATGAAGAACCAGAGACAAGTACTGAAATGGTTTCTTATCCGTACCGTGGGACAGTAGGGGTGCTCATGTACTTGGCAACGTCAACGCGACTAGACATCGCGTTTGCAGTTGGGTTACTCAGCCGGTTTGTCAGTAATCCGAGTAGCAAGCATGTTGGAGCAGTGAAGCGAGTATTTCGCTATTTGTCAAGTACGTTGGCGTACCGATTGAGCTACAAGCGCCAAGATGGAAGTGCAAGTCAAATTGATGTCGAAGGATATAGTGACAGCGATTGGGGCGGTGATCCAGATTCGAGACGCAGTGTTACTTGAGTCGTATCCACTATTGCGGGCGGTGCGGTGTCGTGGCTATCACGGCTTTAGAGCGTAGTTGCACTGAGCACAGCAGAAGCGGACTACATAGCATCGTGTGAATCAGCTATGGAAGCAGCGTCCCTTCGAAACGTCATTGAAGAAACATTAAGCGTGACGAATCAGGGCATCGCAGTGAAGCTCGGCGTCGACAACTCGAGCGCGATGACACTGGCGATGGATCCGACATTCAGTTGTCGGACACGACACATTGAATTGCGCTGGCACTATGTGCGCGAGCAAGTGAAGAAGAGAAAGATTATACTTTACAAGGTCAAGACGGCTGAAAATGCTGCAGATCTTCTTACGAAAGCAACCAGTGCAGACAGGATTCAGCACTTGATGCGACTCATCGGAATTTCGGATGGAGCCATATAAGTCAGTGCAATTGATTGAAGCTCGGCAGTCTACGACTAAGTGAATCGACTGCGCATAACGAGTGATTGCAAGTCGAGGAGGGCGTGTTGTAATTTGAATTTGCTGCGACAGGTGCCAAGTAGCAACAGTTGTCAAAAATGTAATGGGTGCGGAGCGACAGGGTCAGTGCGACGTTGCCAGGTCTTGGTGGGTGAGGAGCGAAGGGGTCTGAATGACAACCAAATCGGTTGGTCTAGAAGCGTGCGTAAAAGAGAAGATATGAGACCATGCACAGCACCTGCAAGAGTAGTAGTTGTGTGCACTAGGAATAGCCAAGTGCGCAGGTATATGTAAGTGTCAGTTCCAAAAACACCATCCCGTGCTAACATCTTCATTGAGCAAACCGTTATCTTCAACAAGCTACAATGAGCACTTTTCGCGCTTCGAGACGGAGACAGCTGAGTTGGCAAAGCAAACTGTCCAGCTTGCAGTGGTCGACAGACTTGCAAAGAGTAAAAAAGAAGAATTAGGAACAATAGCTCGCTTGATTGCGCGAGGCTCAAGAGCAAAGTTTTCGGCAAGCCCAGCTGATCGAATCCAATCAGCAAGACGTAGAGAATGTGCTTTCGGTCATTCGCAGCGCGTTAGCAAGTGGTTTGAATTGGCGTGGTCTGGAAGAGCTTGTCAAGTACGAGCAAAAGAACGGCACCTATGTGGCAAGTCTCATTCACAAACTAGATCTCGAGCATAACCGCGTAGCACTTTTGCTTTGCGATGATGACGAGAGTGACGAAGGCGAACACGGAGGTGATGGTACGGGTGAGGAATACAGACAGGCTCACATCATCTGGATCGATTTGTCACTATCGGGCGCTTGCCAATGCACGAGAAGTCTATACGAAGAAGAAGAAAGCTGGAGCGAAGGCGATCAAGGCTTCGGAGGCAACTGACAAAGCAATTGCACTGGCCGAGAAGACCACTTTGAAAACCCTGGAAAAGCAGCAAACGAAGCGAAACGTGATCTACCAGCGGCGCAAAACGCTTTGGTTTGAGAAGTTTCATTGGTTTCTTACCAGCGAAAAGAACTTGGTGGTTGCTGGAAAAGATGCGCACCAGAACGAACAACTGGTCAAGCGGTATCTGCGGAAGGGAGATGTGTACGTCCACGCCGATCTTCATGGCGCTGCTTCTTGTATTGTGCGCAACCATGCAAGCACTAGGAACATCGAGACCCAGGAACTTCCTCCTGTATCTATAACTACGCTAGAACAGGCAGGACGCATGGGTGTATGCCGCAGCAACGCCCGGAGTAGTCAGTTGATTGCTGGAGCCTATTGGGTCCATGCCGACCAGGTGTCAAAGACCGCGCCAGCAGGCGGGTTCCTCACGACTGGCAGTTTCATGATCCGGGGCAAGAAGAATTACATCCAGCCATCTCGGCTCGAAATGGGACTAGCAATTCTCTTTCATATTGACGTGAGCAGCGTCAGCCAGCATGCGCGCCAGAATGAAGAAAGAGATCTTCGGGTGATGGACGACTTTGACGAGAGAGATGGGAGTGACTTACCAAACGTTCTGCCGGAAGAACAGGAAGGATTGCACCAGCAAGACGTGGCTGTCGAGGAGAAAAGTGAGGAAGCGACAGACGACAGTTGTTCGGAGCCGCGTAAGTCTCATGTTCCTGCGGATGTCGCTCAAGGTAATGAGATTGACGACAGAAAAGACAAGTCAGACCCGTCTAAACAGGAGCCTCAGCGTGACGGGCGAAAACGGTTGTCGACAAGAGAGCGCCGTGACCTGAAGAAGGGTGTCCCAACAGCTTACGAGGATGGAGCTGGTGACAATAGTCAGCCGTCTTATCAGGCAAAACAGGGCCAAAGGAAGGATACGCGCAAGTCGCTCGACAAGGGCAACGTCCAGGTCTCTCGGCTGGATAAGAGCGTTCGTGGCAAGAAGAGTAAGGTGAAGAAAATGAAGAAGAAGTACGCTGACCAGGACGATGACGATCGCCGGCTGCGCATGGAGGCGCTGGGTCACGTGATGGAGGAGACAGACGATGGGGACAGCCAGCGTGACCAGAACAGTGAGTGCGTCGGACAAGCGAGAGATGGAGGTGTCGATGACGAGGACGATGGTAGTCCTGTGACCAGTGCCACCACCGAGACCAAGGACGAGTACATTCGTCAGCAGCGCGAGAAAAAAGAGAAGTTTCTTGACGAGCAAGAGGGTGAGGTGGAAAGCATTGGATTCTTTGATGCGTTCACGGGCGAGTATCTACCGAACGACATTGCGCTGTTTGCCATGCCCATATGTGCTCCGTACGCCTCGCTGAGTAAGTTCAAGTACAAGGTGAAGCTCACGCCTGGAAGCCAGAAGAAGGGCAAGGCAGCGAAGCAAGCGATGGGTCATTTCTTTGCGGCAAATCTGAAGGAAGAGAAGGGCATGCAAAAGACGCAGGTGCACAATAAAGCCAACAATGTGACACATGCGTTGATTGCATAGAGGTGATCGGTCGGCTTGCCTTGCTTGAGAGGGTCTTGCGGAGTCAAAGAGATGAGTGAGGGTGCATTGACGATCATGTTCTCTCTAGTCTGCCTGACCGAATGATTGATTTCACCCCATCTATCCGTCCAATCACCCATGAGAGTATGTTAGATGTTTAGCCGGATGAGAATCCGCTTGCAGTGCAGCGCAAGCTCATGCGGTGCATTCCAGACAATGAGCTATTGAATTGTATGGACGGGCCTGTTGAATTTTCGATCGCCAAGACTCCATGGCGCTCACGAGTGCAAGCGGTCATCGAGCAAGTTCAAGAAGAGCAACAATAAGTAGCAATGGCTGCATTTGCGCTTAGCCTTGGCAAGAGAAACGCAGTTGGTGTCTCACTACAAGTGAACCACGACTAGATTTGTTGCAAGCGTCAACACTACTGAACACGGCTGCATATGATAACGATTGATCGGTTTTGTTAAAATTCCGTTCGAATTGGACAAATATCGAACGATAGTAACTTACGATACATTCAACGAAACCGATCGGTTTTGGGGCTAGGAAGTACGCAAATTACGTCAGAGTGCTCAGTGTTGCCTCGATTATTCAATGTTCTTGCCTACCGTAGCTCGCACGGTAATTGCCTGAAAGATTACCCTTACCTCGCTCTTAAATGAAATAAAATCGTTTCATAACACTGACATTGATATCAATGTCGGTGTAAATAATGTCTTTGCAGGTTACAATATACAAACATCACCTTATGCGCACAAAAACTAGCAGAATATAATTACGACCAACAGCTCTGTCGCAGATTAGGCCACCATAATAACCGACACAAGCTTAACTTTTGCTGGACGCGTGCAGTAAGGGGTTAAGTAAGAAACTCGCACACTCAATCGTACTAAAGTAAATTATAATGACGACTATGGAATGGATTTCCAACAAGGTCACACGGATCCGATAAAAAGGCGTTTCTCATTTCGTGAACTTGTCTTGTCTAATATTTTCACGCTTGCTTTGCGCGTGACCGAGTATGTACCATTTTGTGTACTAAAATTATACGTTAGTGATTCAGCCTTTACTTGTTGGAGAGGGAGATTAATCTTTGCTAATGCGTCGTCCTGATGTGACCGTCAATCTTCGAGAAAACGACAGGCACACAACATGATTCGCTGTCTCGGTACAAGAATAAGTATGTTTTCAAACTATATTTGAAATCGCATTATACAGCTATCGTTACGTAGTAGGGCATGTGTTATACAACAAAGTAACAAATTACCTTTCTCGGTCAATAGTTCCTGCTCTGTGTGATGCACTCCCAAAAAAGTATGAACTTAACAGCAAATGATGCAACCGGTGTCCTTAACAAAGAAAACACCTCGGGTGGTAGTGCAACGCTATGAAGACAAACGCCAAGAAGACTTCTTACTCATATTGTCGCAAGGAAACAGTGATTGAATTGGACATACCCGCGTCAGAAACATATGGAGCTTTTTCAAATTAGTGCCAAGTGATCAGCAAGCATCTTCACAACATGAAATATCGAGTAATAATGCTTGAGAGATCTATTGATGATTCACTCATCTCGAAAGCATGAAGTATTAAGTGCCGATATGTCGACAGATCATTGGTCAGAGTTGCAGATAAGGAACATGTGATGAGTAAGTTTTACATATTCTAACGATTTGTGCGCGTCGGTTCAACCCAGCGTTGTCAAAACAATTGTGATGAGCCAGCGTTGTTCTTTGACATAATTTTACTGGCAAATACATGTAGGTCACTACATGCTTGTACAGACACCATACAGGCTACCTACACTTATTACACGGTAAAAGCAGGTACATCTCATCATAAGTCTTATAAGTAAGTAGCGTTGTTTGCACCAGCGCAAAATTAGTAGGAAATAAAAAAATATGTATAAGATGCTAAAAACTTTCATTTGGCAACCCTAAATAATGCGTTTGACCAGCACTGCAGCTTAACCAGGTCAAGTTGCGCATGGCTTACGTCCAGTCCGACTATAGTCATGGTTTGGTCCCTCATGGCGTCCTTATCTCCTATTCCAACATGCCACGGTATCTTGCTGATCCCATATGGTGACCGTATCTTCTAGACCATCTGTCATGTCGTCACATGTCAACCAATTAGGTGATGTCGGAACTTATTTGTTACAGGTCTTGCACTTGTGTGGTGGAGTGGTGATCGCTCTTTTGAGGAGTCGATCCTAACTCTCCACTGTCGCCCGGATGACCGACTAACGGAGGGGGTACTCCGATTCCGTGTTGTAACTTTTACTCACCTTGTGTACCCGTTTATGGGACGGTTTGCACTCTTCCAGATAAACTCGTGTCAATGAAAAAATTGACCGTGTTTGCGATGGGGTCGTGAATTGATATCGGTGTGGAAATCTTCACACCGCGATCGGGGTAGACGTAATCTCGTGGAATCCTTCACGGGGTCACTTGTACACTTGTAGATGGCTCAATATGAGTCACCCTGATCTGTAACAGATCGCCTAGTCCAAATGTAGACCTTAATTCGCGAGCCTTCTGACCACTTTAGCCGTCTCGCGATCTTGAGTCTTGAACCACAAAGGACTTCCTGTGTCCAAGTCGTAGTTGGCGTGTTGCTTGGTAGTTGTTGATCCCTGGCCAAACAATTCAGGGATATCACTTGATTAAAGTATGTAAATCTTTCCTTGACGTCTGGTGGTCAGTGATTCACCCGGAGGAGAAGTCGACACGTGTACTATAAAGCAAATTGAACTCTGTTTAATGTTAACCACTCAAACCCAACAACCCTATCCCTATCTTCATGTCTTGGACATCGTTTGCTACAAGTTGCTCTCTCTAGACGGTAGCGATATTGTACTTGCGTGGCCCACACCTATTATACTTGTCTGATCGCGATCACATACCTGATCACTGATCACGATCCCGGTCGCCTCCTGATCGCGGATCACATGGTGTGCTCCACGCCAACTTGATCGCGATCGCATGCCCGATCACTGATCACGATCTCGATCGCCTCCTGATCACTGATCACGATCTAGATCGCCTCCTGATCGCGACCGCCTTGCTGATCGCGAATCACATGGTGTGCTCCACACTAACCTGATCGCGATCACATGCCTGATCACTAATCACGATCTAGATCATCTCCTGATTGCGATCGTTTTGCTGATCGCGAGTCAAATGGTGTGGTACACACTCTTCAGATTGCGATCGCTTGTCGTGGTCCACACCAACCTGATCGCCGATCACGATCTCGATCGCCTCCGTGATCGCGATTGCCTTGCTGATCGCGGTTCCCTTCTTGATCGACTGATCTTCAACATAATCTCCCACAACCCCATCTCCACGAATCGTACCCTTCGTCCGTCATACTTTAAACTGATATCGCAGGTCCCATCCTGTCCAGTCTGATATCCAGTTTTGTCTGACCATCCAGTGGACGCTATCCGACCAGTTTTGGGACCGACGCTGCCACCCGTTAACTGACTTAGCACTCACTGATACGCGATTAGTTCCCCTGTCGCGAATTTTCGTAGTCGCTTTACCACACTTGTTTTCGAAAAATCTTAAGACATAAGGTTTTTCGAAAACAAATGTAAGGCCTGTAACAAGTAAGTTTCAACATTACGAAAATATATTTTAACAATGGATACACCATATGTGCAGAGGAACGTCTTTTGACCAACAAGCTTGATGATCGGAAAAGTTATACGGTGGTAAATGGCCAGAAAGCCGTCCGAGTATAATATAGTGGATCTTCAAATTTATTACAAAACAGCAAATTATCAATGTAGCTACTCGCTCACCAGACATTATGCGCGTCTAGCATCGATTCATGATTTGGCTGCTTGACATATTGCATAAATCAATTAATGAGGGGACCGACGCCATTTACTACCTCAAAAGGTAATCGTCATTATGTATGTAAGTATAATGATCAAGAATTACCACATTTAAAGCTTAACATCAATCTCGATAATATATGATCGACCCAATGGCGTCAATAGGCATCTCACGATCTTATTCCATTACAAATGGGAGTTCTTAGGTCACCAAGAATAAGTTATCTTATTCGATAAATCAATTTCACGCACTCAGGATTCAGCATACGAAACGACATATTTACAACTAGTGGCAAAAAAACTCATATCCAATACATTGATTACGTGCAACCCAAAAATAAAGTTTTCTGCTTATGATGCTTATGCAATATGATGATGTCAAGGCGAATTCTGATAGAGCGTGATGTGTAAGCGCACGTAAATCCAGATTCTCGGTAAAATTCATTAAATTCAATGATATAGCTGCTGAGACTGGTATAGTCAGTATCTATAGACGAATACAACGTCTGGAATATATAGGACTTGATTGCGTCATACGGCATCCACGCGATCGTGTGGTAAGGGTAGAAAAAGCGGGTAAAGTTCTGCAAATTGGTAGCTGTACGATTTGTGCAAGAAGAATAATGGCCGGATGTGGTAAGGCACTAAAGAAACTTATTATGTCGATCTCTGTCTAATCAAGGCGAGGTTAAATTCGGTTAGAAATCGCGAATTACTTGCAATACAATCAGTATTTTTCCCATTGATACATTGTAAGTACAACGACATCAATCACGGAATATGTCCTGCTAATATAGGGCCTTGAGTGGTATGCCATACTCTATCTTTCCGAAATCACGATGCATGACATTTCGGACAAACGATGTATGAGTATGGGTTTAAAGGATGAGTTCCACCTATGGGAAGTGACAACCAAAGGTTAGTACAATATCCTACTGACAAGATCGGCGATCCGCTCCGTTCTGATCGATCTGATCACATATATGTATGATTTGCAAAGGTAATTCTGAAACCATTGCATTTCTTGATAAATGGCATGTGGGATGGTTGTGTGATAACATCAAATTGATTAATAATGATGTACCGTACACCCATTTGCGTACTAAATAATAACGGTTACAACTTTAATGCGGGTTCGTGAATTGCCACCTGGTGGTGAGAATAGGCCAGAAGTTGATAGGATGACGCTAGAAAGTACATTCGAGCCGTTTTTTAAGGTCTGATGAAAGAGCGGAATAAAGTTTATGACCTTGGGTCTCAAAGATAATTTAGGAGTAATTGGCTCAACACTTTGACACATTCCAGATATTCAGAATACAATTCCGACATTCTAAGCATTGTTGTATGTATCGATAAATGACAATACATCGATTTTAGAGCACGATATTACAGTTATCCAAGTATAATTATGACATAGGCCAGGAACTATATCACGAGTTCCTGAAAGAGATCTTTTGGAAACCCAATATTGGGTTGGAGATTA